CACGGTTTTTCCAGCGTTTTCGCAAAGAGGACGTCCAAAAACATTGAGTTTTTCCAGAATTTCGGCAAAAGGATGCAGGAAGCCCAAGCCAGCAAAAAAGCCGGCAGGGGGAATCGAGCCTGGGACCCCTGTTTTGCGACACCGGCTCCCCGAAGACTACGTTTAGTGGAACGTCATCAAATTGCCGCGCGGTACGTGGGGGACCCCCCCCCCCCCAAAAAACCTACGTAATAGACGTCGGGCGGGGGGGGGTTAGGGGGGGGGTTATCCTCTATCCTCTAGTAAGTATCCGACACGCCGAGCAATGTCGGCGGACTTTTAGCGGGGGGCTTTTTAGCTTTTTAGTGGCTGGATTTCCATTGAACCCACCAAAAGTGAAACTTTTAGTGGGGGGTCTAGCTTTTTAGCTTTTTAGTGGTTGGACTTCCACTTAACCCTCTAAAAGTGAAACTTTTAGCGGGGGGCTTTTTAGCTTTTTAGTGGCTGGATTTCCATTTAACCCACCAAAAGCGAAACTTTTAGCGGGGGGCTTTTTCGCTTTTTAGTGGCTGGATTTCCATTGAACTGAAACTTTTAGCGGGGGGCTTTTTAGCTTTTTAGTGGCTGGATTTCCATTGAACCCACAAAAAGTGAAACTTTTAGCGGGGGGCTTTTTAGCTTTTTAGTGGCTGGATTTCCATTGAACCCACCAAAAGTGAAACTTTTAGCGGGGGGCTTTTTAGCTTTTTAGTGGCTGGATTTCCATTGAACCCACCAAAAGTGAAACTTTTATCGGGGGGCTTTTTAGCTTTTTAGTGGCTGGGTTTCCATTACACCCACCAAAAGTGAAACTTTTAGCGGGTGGTCTGGCTTTTTTAAGCTTTTAAGTGGCTGATATCCCATTGACAAGCAAGCCGGATTGAGTGAAAACTTTTAAGCGGGCATGAAACTTTTTAGCTTTTTAGTGGCTGGATTTCCATTGAACCCACCAAAAGTGAAACTTTTAGCGGGGGGTCTGGCTTTTTAGCTTTTTAGTGGTTGGATTTCCATTTAACCCACTAAAAGTGAAACTTTTAGCGGGGGGTCTGGCTTTTTAGCTTTTTAGTGGTTGGATTTCCATTGAACCAAAAAAAAAAGTGAAACTTTTAGCGGGGGGTCTGGCCTTTTAGCTTTTTAGTGGTTGGATTTCCATTTAACCCACTAAAAGTGAAACTTTTAGCGGGGGGCTTTTTAGCTTTTTAGTGGTTGGATTTCCATTGAACCCAAAAAAAAGTGAAGCTTTTAGCGGCTTTTTAGCTTTTTAGTGGTTGGATTTCCATTGAACCCACCAAAAGTGAAACTTTTAGCGGGGGGTTGGATTTCCATTGAACCCACCAAAAGTGAAACTTTTAGCGGGGGGCTTTTTAGCTTTTTAGTGGCTGGATTTCCATTGAACCCACCAAAAGTGAAACTTTTAGCGGGGGGCTTTTTAGCTTTTTAGTGGCTGGATTTCCATTGGCGGGGGGTCTGGCTTTTTAGCTTTTTAGTGGCTGGATTTCCATTGAACCCACCAAAAGTGAAACTTTTAGCGGGGGGTCTGGCTTTTTAGCTTTTTAGTGGTTGGATTTCCATTTAACCCACTAAAAGTGAAACTTTTAGCGGGGGGTCTGGCTTTTTAGCTTTTTAGTGGTTGGATTTCCATTGAACCCACCAAAAGTGAAACTTTTAGCGGGGGGTCTGGCTTTTTAGCTTTTTATTGGTTGGATTTCCATTTAACCCACCAAAAGTGAAACTTTTAGCGGGGGGTCTGGCTTTTTAGCTTTTTAGTGGTTGGATTTCAATTTCCAAAAGTGATGCTCGTCAACTGAACCCAGCGACCCCCCCTACTAATACGCAGGGCTTGGGTCAACATGAAGAGAACTAGGCGAAAGTTCAGCGCCCTAGGTCAGGTTACCCTTAGTTGGTGGTTTGGATTGGTGGGGATTCGAACCCCTGGTTGTGTAGGAAAACCACCTCATAACCTCCAAACTACAAATTAGAGGGAGCTGGGAAGTCTCGGATCCCTCGTTGGAGCCGTAGGTGGCTTGGATTGGTGGATTTGGATTTCGAGTTGAAGGCTTGTGTAGAGGATAGTTGCAAGATGTTGGAACTAACATAGCTGAAATGAATATCTTTGGGCTTAAGCAAATGGCAAATGGAGGACAAAATCCGCTTTTGCAGCAAGTGGATAGGTGGTTTGTCCCATTCGCAGGGTTTCATCCTTCCCAACTGGTGCGAAGTGGGTTTTTTGCCCAGCACAAGAAGGTTTGCCATTCCCCGAAACATTGAACAAACTGCAACTCTCATGTGCACACCGGATGTAATTTCTTGAGGCGCCCGACTCTTTTCCAAAGAGCAACCACACGGAAAGCCACAATTCAATTTGCTGGGTCTTTCAAGAAAAGACACAAGGAAAACCACTATTGTTGCGGTCTCCAGAGAAGATGAGGGTTATTTTTACAATTTGACATGGGTGGGCAGGTCCGTTAGAATCGGAGCCTCCCCCAAAGCGAGGACGGTTGCCCTCAGCAAAAGACGAGCCCAGTTTTGGTGGGCGAGTTTTGGTCCCGTGGCTGTCGGGCGGACTCGAGAAAGCCTTTTTGAGGACCGCTGTGTCAATATTTCCCTCCAAGAGACAGGATCCTTTTCTTGGTGGCTCCGGCTCCCGGCCATCCGGTTCAACTTAGCCTTTCAGAAAGGTTTTCATTGCGGCCGTGATCTCAGCGACTGCGCACTGAGCACGCACCGAGTGCAACGAGTGCACCGAGGGCGCACCGAGTGCACCCAGCATGCACCAAGTGCGCCGGTGCACCGAGTACGCATCGAGTGCACCGAGTACGCACCAAGTGCCTCGAGTACGAGTGCACCGAGGATGCACCTACCGTAGATGGACGAAATATTCAAACCCTCGAGTATGAATCTATCCCCCCCACCCCCAAATCTCAATGTTGGAATGTTTTGCAGGGACAAGGGCCGACTGGACAAAACAAATCAAACCCCACTAACATAAAGTCAGCGCTGACATTTCAACATTGAGATCTGGGGCGCGGGGTGTACACAAAGAAACCTGATGTCAGGGGTTTGAATATTTCGTCCATCTACTGTCTCGGTCTGTCATCCGTCTGCCATTTTGTCCCTAACCAGCGTTGCCTGTCACCTGCAAACCTCTTCCAAACAGTCCCTGTCTCCTTCTGTGTGATGTAGGTAGCAAAGGTCATCTAAGTACTCCATGTCACTTGCCAAGGAAGGTCTTCCAACTCTGTGCCGCAACCCCGCCGAGTCCAATCTGCTTTCAGCGGCATGACTGTGTGATGTAGGAAGCAAAGGTCGTCTAAGTACTCCATGTCACTTGCCAAGGAAGCTCTTCAAACCCGTCGAGCCCACTCTGCTTCCAGCGCCGCGCATCCAAGTGCTCCATGTCACTTGCCAAGAAGGTCTCCCAACTGCAACACAAACCCGTCGAGTCCAATCTGCTTCCAGCGCCACGAGCCAACCATCCCCCCTCTATGGCGTCGAGGGCTTGAGACGGCGTTCTGCGTAAATTTTGCGTTCCAAAGGTGATGATCTTCAACAGTCGCAGCAGGGCGCCCGCTTCAGGCTGGGCTGCTGTGCGTTGTGTGTGCTAGCGTTTTGGTTGGACACCAACTAGCGCACTCCTGCGTCGCAGCATTGTGTGCTGAACACTGCGCATGCGCAGTCGCTAGCTCAAACAACAAGCCTGCAGCGCCTTTCCTTCGCCTACAGACCATGGCTTTGAAGTCGGAGCTGCTCAGGCAGTTTGCAGGCCGGATGAAACTAC